TTTTTAACTGAAGATAACACACGGATTTTTCGAGCGTGCTATCAGTTAAACCGCTCAGTTGAACTGACGTACATCCAAAAACTGATCGTGAATGTGAAATCTTAAGTTAAAATTTTTAACTAACGGCAACCCACGTATTTTTCCGGGCGCACCGTAATCCGCTGGCTACAGTTCGTTTCCATTATTGGTACATATAAGTACATACTTTCTTAGTAGCTTTTATTTATATTTTATATTTTTGTTATAACATTATTTGTATGCTGTTTAGATTTTATATTATTTTATATATTTAGAGAAGTTGGTTTGACAGAGGATGGAGACCAAGGTGATTGTAATGATGTCACCTTCCTTATGGTGGACTCAGAAGGTGGGTAAAGGGTCTCAGTGATGCTACTACGTAGAACCATCGTGTTTGAACTCATTTTCAAATAGGTAACTGGAGAACTAGATGACTGTTATGATCTCACCTTTCTGATGGTGCAATCTGAAGGTGGGTATAGGATCTCAGTGGCGGCAATAAGTAGAATGATCGTGTTTGAACTCATTTGAAAGGATTTATAAAGACCTAGTTCAATGTGCTTATAATACCTTCATGATGGTAAACTAAGAAGGTGGGGTAAAAGATAAAAATAAATAATATATTTATTAAATAAATAAAATTTACCATAATGAATAAAATTATCATAATATCTGACCCATTTCTTAAAAGTGTCTTAATACTGACCTTATCATGAATAAAAATATCTTTTGAAGTGTTAATATATAGGAAACGATATTTATATATATATACGGAACGGATTTCATTTCTCGATCGATGGGGCCGCTGCCGTGCGCGTTTAGTTGGCGTGACTCCTATAAATTAAAAATATCATTTCCTATCTATTAACTAGCTGTTCCCCGCAACTTCGCCCGCGTGTAATTTATTACGATTGAATTTCATGGGTTTTAATGTTTTTGCGCGGAACCCTAATTATTTTCTTCATCAGCTATCTGCCACTGAAAGTCTCGTCAAAATTGGTTCAGCCGATTCGGAGATTAGCCGGAACAAACAGACAGACAGAAAGACAGAGAAAAATTTTAAAAACTGTGTTTTTGTTAGAAGTACCGTATTTACTTTCATATGTATTTAGTAAAAAACTGTTATTTTGACATTACAAACAGACACTTCAATTTTATTTATTTGTATAGATAAATATTAATAGACAGGAAATGATATTAAATAAGATTTAGATATTATTAAATATCATTTAATTTAGCTATATATATGATATTTTATAGGAGTCACGCAAACCAAACGCCCACGGCCACGTCCCACGTTTGAACTAGGGCTGTTGATAAAATATCAATATATGGAAAAATCTATTTTATTATTTAGAAATATCGATATTTATTTCTAATATTTTTGGACGACATATTATATTGAAATATAAGTTTGATATTATATAAAAATATACATATACGACAGTCGATATATTTTTTAAAATAATTTAATATTTTATTTTTTCACGTAAATCATTTAATCTACAACACCATCGTAAACTTAAATCCCAATCCTTGACGGACCCAATCTATTATACTTTATTTACACTATATTATGTTTTTGATTTGTCCCCAGTTTATTTATTTGCTTATTATCTCAAAAAGAAATGTAATCTTGTATAGTATGTCTCTGTGATATTAAAGTCACTATAATCTATTAAACTTAGTACTACTTTACTTACTGTGAGTTTTGGCAGCTTTTGCTCCTGTTTTATCGTTTAAATAATCGTTTGAAGTGGATTTTTATCAAAGTGATGGGATTATGAGTATTATGTGTATGGTGTATGCGCATGTGAGCTATTAGAGAAAACGACGAAATAAGTGATTCGATGTTGGTATAAGCCTCAAGTTATTTTAATCGCTTAGGCGTCTTATGATTTACTTCCGTGCTATCAGAAATAGCTGTTAAATACTTGATTTCTTCAGCTGCATCCGTAGCATCTGAACGAATTACTTCTACAATCAATCTTTTAATGCCGAATAATCGCAGTATTGAAACAGCTGAACATATAAAACAAAGAGTATTTTTAAAACTCTTACTGTGAAATATTGGTAAACATAATTGTCTTATTTAAATTAAACAATCATTAAAGTTAAAGATACGTCCCAATGCTGGGCACTCCTCAGCTGGGCAGGCCTCTCCTAATTTCTGAGAGGATTTTAGGGCAACGTCCGCCGCGCTGCCCATTACGTGTTGGCGAACTTCACGTTTTTTGAAATTTTTATTTTATTTCTCAGACATGCAGGTTTCCTCACGATGTTTTCCTTCATCGTCGAGCACGTGGTAAATCAGCACTTAAAATTTCAATTAACCATTTCATTGGTGCCGGCAGGGATCGAACCCGGGTTGCTCGCGTACTGTGAAATTTACAGCGAGCGCTAACCATCTGAGCTACCACGGCTCATTAATAATTACTAAGAATTATAAACTAACATATTCATTCATTTATAATTTAATTTGTTTAATAAATATACTAAATTATAAACCGTGTAAATCATTTTTAAGCAATAAGCATCTGATATACCGCTTATGTTTTCGATATATAAAACTCCGATATTGATATATTTATAATTATCGATATATTGAAAATCCGATATTTTAAAAATTTCAACAGGCCTAGTTTGAACTGATCAGTTGGAATGATCAGTTGAGCTGATGTCAGTTTAACTGACCGTGTGTGGGGACCAATGATAAAAATGCAAGTACCTACACCTTTTGCTAAACTTTCAATTTAAAAACAAATTTTATAACATAATTACTAATATTTATTTCAGGTTATGACAACCCTGATTTATATTACATGGCTGAAATTAGGTACTGCTAATTTGGTACCCTAAAACCAAATAACAGCCTGACGGCTGACATTATGCACTCCATACATTTAGTATATCTAATTACAGCCCCATTAATTCTTACCTACTAAAAGAAAATAAAAATGTAATAAATTTATTTAAAATAACTGTATTACTATGTTTCAAGTCATATTCACGCAACTAACAAAGCCTAAAGATGATAATAAGTAAAATAAGCCTAATTTTATTGGGACCATAACTTAACAATAAATAAGGAAAATTAGCGTTATCCGTTGCGTCGGTATTTTGATTTTAAATTTAACACTCATAGATTATTAACTGTATGGTAATATTTGAAATATACTTTCCTCTAATTTGGAAACATTTTTAATTGACAATATTTATAGATAAAACCACTATATTTTTGAAGTAAAAAGGCGAAATGGCTGGTACGAGTATTAGGTAGGGGCGGGGCTGGCGTTAGGGGCACAAAGCATAAATATGTATCTTTCAATTAAATACAAATGTAATAAAAACACAATGACGTACATATAAAGTTGAGATAACTATTGTGTTAACTCATCAGCAATACACAACTCCATCTATATATGTATAAATAAAATGATAGAGGTTTGCAGTTGTGCGCGCATCACGGAAAAACTACTGGATAGATTTCAATTAGGTTTATAAGTTTTATTTCTTAGACACTGGGCCCTTAAATAAAAAAAAAAGTTATTGCGATATCTTCATTTATTGTAAAGTTATTACTTTTAAGATACAACGATTTCATACGAGATTTTTCACACGGGCAACTGTAAGTCGCTTGCTATCGCGTTACTATCCCAGATAATTTATATATTTTTTCTATATTTTAGATACAAACGGAGCAACGAATAACATTGTTTACAAAGAATTTTGTCTTTTTGATGTTTTTTCCTTCGCACATACGAAAACTTTGTTAATATATCAAGCAACGCGGAGGAAGTCGCGGGAATCAGCTAGTACAAAAACAAAATGAATAATGGACTTTCTCAAAAAGTTTATTATTCGCGTTATTTTCGTTTTTGGCTCGTCCTGAGAGGGTTGGAAAAAGGGACGTCCCATCAGAATTGGGACGTTTGGCAAATGTAATTGCAAGGCACGTTGTGACGCTACATAATTCTCTTACATTTACCTAACTACTGAGGTGTTCAGCACCCACCTTAAAAATTTAAACACTTTTCCGTAGCAATGTCATACTGCCTCCTTTATAATACTCTATGAAATGAAAAAATACGAAAAATTTGCACAGCTTGACCTGTTTATAATGCTAATTTATTACGTCATACTTTTTTGTATAGGACTCACAACACATACATATATATATACAAAATTTTTAATTTTTAATTATAAACGTATAAAATGATTAAAATGTCATAAATTCCTCTTCTCTTTATTTGTATACCTGCATGTAATTAAACGATTTTTTTAATATAGTTTCATGCACTTCCTGGGTTAATCTAAAATTGCGCAGACATAAATTGTCCACTGTCAAACGAAGTAAATTGTTCTTCATAAATCTCGGCACCGCCTGTGATTCGAATCAACGACCCGCGAGCCTACGGCTTGTCAGTAAGACACTTTCCTCGTCGTCCTCAAGTTTGTATTTCAAAGTCACAACGTTTATTTCATTTAGGCTTGTTTAGGAGTTATAGTGATTATGAACTCAAAAGTCTACACCTATTTGCAAAAACATGACCTTTTCAAGGAAAAACCGGCAAGAAACTGCTGTCGCTAAATAAATAATTTACTAAGGCCCCTGTTGGAATTCGAAGATTTAGTCAACAGCAGATACGCTCGATGGTAAATAATTAATTAATTTTTTAATAATCATACGCTCTATGTAATAATTCTTAACCTATAAATGATCTAGTGGTGCTTCGATTGCAAATGGCGTTATCTCTAAAGTTTCTACTAACAAACCTGCTACAGTGCTCAGTAAATAAGTAAACACATAAGTACCGTATAATCATTGTTCAAATACAATATTATTATAATACATTGTCAAACATTAAAGTGTTATATACAATAATAAAAATAAAGAATTAAAAGTTAAAGCGTGTTGAACGTAACAAAATGTATCTACAATGAGAGGACGGGTATAAAACCACGGATCTCCCTCCTCGCGCAGTTACTCTGTCGAATAACTCGTGTTGGCTGCACGTCCGTTGACCCTCTCTACAGACTACTAAAAAGTAAGTTTTTTTTTAAATTATCAGTGATACAAAAGTAACCTACCAACATTATTGGACTTAGATCGGATCATCCATATGTGTTTAAAATTATTTGCCAAATTGTAACTTGTAATTTTATGTTTATGGGACATTGTGTGATTAGTCCAAGATTAGTCCTACTATGTAGAAACATTTATGGTGTAAATTTATTTAAGTAATTGTCGTGTGGAGTCGTGAACAATAAAATAAATAAAGTTAGATTTAATATTTGAAGATATTTAATTTTTGATTGATAGATAAGAAATTAACCTAAATTACAAATTTTCATTTCAAAAATATTTATAAAATTAACTAATTGTAGTAGGAAAAAATAATTAGAAGAATATCTACGGACCATTAAAAAAAGGAGGAGGTTCTATGTTCGACTGTATATATTTCACCAATTTCTCCGCCAATTGCGGACCTATTTTGATGATTATTTAGACTATACTTAAGGGGTGGTTCCGTATAAATTTGGAGAAAAAATTCCCCCTTTCAGGGTGGCAAAATACGGGACGAAGTTTAAAAGAGTAAGTAAAATAATTTCACTGTTATATCTTAGCATCGCCTTCAGAATGTCAAGTCAGGCTTTTACTTTTTGTTAATTTGTTAAAAGTTATTTTTTTAACCTTTTGAGTGAACTATGGAATATCACAATCTCAATATTGTCTAAATAGTTATATTAAAACATTTAATTATATTTATTACACGATACGATACACCTATATATAAATTTAAAGGAGGTTCATTAGTGTCTCCGCTATTAATACCAGTTCCATTAATTGAATTATTTTAAGGCGTTTTCATCGCGTCATTGGAGTCTGCGCCGAATTTAACTTTTTGGTGCCATTTGGTGCATTTTATATTGTTCTTTTTTTAATTTGAAATAAAATAGTTACAATTTTTACAATCAATCAAATCTAAATGCCTTTAGTGCATTTGTAATAGCGAGAGATTCATTTCTATTTTGAATGACTATAGTAACATGTATTTTTCTACAGACTTCAAAATGAAGGAGGTACCTACTCAATTCGACTGTTATTTTTTTGTGTGTTATCTCATAACTTTTTTTTAGGTGTATCGATTTCGATGATTCTTTTTTATTTGAAAGTTGGCACTCCTTATGTGGTTCATTGTGGTAAATTTGATCAAGGTGTGACCAATAGTTTTTGAGTTATCCTTAATAATTTATATTGAAGTCGGTTGTACAATTTTTTTAATTTTAAATTATTTTTTTATAAAACATACAATTTTCTGTCAGAAGTTTACTGACCTATCCTCTGCGGTGATGCCCTAGGCCATTGCCTAGTGTGCCTCATAAATCCATTACTGAACGGAGTTGAAATATCCTCAATTTATCCAAGTGTCGAAAAATTATGAAAGTATTACGGTATTGCAAACAGTAAATGTAGTTGTAGTTGTGTTTGTTGTTTTGGTACAATTCGTTGATCAGTGTGTATACGAGCGTTGTTATGGATGTTGAAGGCTGTTGCGTGCTTTGAAATTAATTATGAAATAGTGGACTAGAGTAATATATTTATGACTATAACAATTTAATTTGTCATAAATATTAATAAAATATAGTATATGTGTTACCATAAAAGAAAAACTAAACCTATAAAACTTAAATTATCATACAGTACTACTTCCCCGCGGTATAATGCCAAGAACGTTGGCTGCGCTTTTTTTTTTTAAATAGGATCGGGTGATAACCGAGCACACAGTCCACCTGATGGTAAGTGGTTGCTGTGACCCATAGACATCTACATTTATCCTCAATAAAGAATCAAAATGCAGATGCATCGTCACCCGTGAGGACTAAGATCGACGATCCTCTTTTCCAGTAAAATGGGTCTCACTCACTATACGAAACAACAGTGTCAAGCTGGATTATTACGCTGGTAGTCCTTCCCCGGTCGAGCCGACCCATTCGTGCTTCAACTATATTACTAATATAGATGGAGCATGACTCTACCACGTATAAAACGTTTCCTCGCTGTATGGCTATACTTTAAGGCTTTAAGCGAAGTCAAAAAGGCAAGTCTTGGATACAGTGTCTTACGTGGACCCCTCGTGCGGTAAAGTTACGTATCGTGAGAAAACCGATAGTCTCTACAATAAATGGCACAAATATGTAATCATCTCTCATTCTAGGGTATCAATTCTCAGTCAAAACGTAAAATAAGCACTTAGACGTGGAGTTGCGGACACTTCCCCGGCCCGGCCCGGCTCAATCAATCGAATGCCGTATACAAGTTCAATATACGGTCACAATCAGCTTTTGCGTTTGCGACATGATTTGGCTACTTTCTCAGAGTTCAATTTTTTGAAAACTGATGCTTTTCATGTGATCATGAACTCAAATAAAAAAATAAATTTGATTTAGGTCTGACCAGAAATTTTTGAATTATTCGTAATAATTTATATTGAAATCGGTTGTACAAAATTTTTAATTCTTCAAGCCATTTTGTTTTATAAAGAAAAACGCCATGGAAATTATTATCTCAAGAGCCTTGGTGGCAAGAGTGTAAGTCTACCGAGCGATTTCATATACTTCTTCGTATACGTTTTTCCCAGTCACAGCTATAACAAAAATAGATAATTTTTTTTTATATTCTCGTAAAATGTTTTGTTTGCGAAATTCCGTATATTTTTATGGTACAACGAGTACTTATTAACCGAGAGGTTAATGCTTTTGTCGAAAAACGTATCATTACTGTATTTTATACAAAAATATATTTTTGAATAATTGAAAAAAAAAGAAAGATAATACGTATATTTATATGTAACAGGTTTCTCCAAAGCGGCTTTAATGATTTGGATGACATTCTGTACTTGGATAATTTTTTTTTTTACAAGATTTTTCAGATCGGAGTAAATTTTATATTCTTTACAAGATTTTTTCATGAGCCTCAGAAGAATATATTTTTTTCTAATGTCGAGCAAGGTACTTTTTATTATTTTATTTTAGAAAATAGAATAGAATAATTTTTTATTCAATATTGATTATTACTTAATTCTTATCGAAAGTCATTTTTTTATTTACTACTGGTTCGAAAATATCTCTGTCCTGGGAAGAACCGGCAAGAAACCCGGCGGGACTTTTTTTTCAAACATTTTTCACTTAACAATAATTTCGTTTATACAATTTGTAAATGATTTTTCATAGAACCAGCACGGTGGCGATCACCTTATTCCCAGGGGTTATTTTCATTGTATTAAAGGCTTTTATTGTACTTTGGATTTAATGGCAAGAATCTATGACTGAATCTACACTTCAATAGAGTTGGCAAGCCTGACATTAGTCAAGCAGTGTTTGTCATTATCTGAGATAAGTCAAAAGTTGCCAGTCATCGAAATAGGTGTGACCTTGATCGAAATGTTCAAAAAACATCGATGACGATAATAGATAACTGCGAGTGTTATGTTTGAAATGCGATAATGATAAAAAAAATAATTATGTATTAAAGTAAATTATTAAGTATTTATTCATGTTTGCCTAATGGGACGAGCCATTATGGATAATGGATTTAACCCAATGTTTTCTTTTTCTCGTTCATTAAACTGTGAAAGTGGTGTAAGAAGAACCACTACCCCAAATCATCCCGTGAGTGTTGTAAAAGGCGACAGAGAGAATCAAACCAGCAATCCAGTTAGGCAGAGCAGCATCTTCATTTCTACACTCAGAGAATTTTTTTAAAATTTAATGTATTAAAAAAAAACAATTATTAGTTTTAATAAAGAAAACGTGATATAACTATACTTAGTAAACATCAGCAACAAACAAGCGTGACTTAGTGACTAGTGATACCAGTTTATCGACTCCACGTAGTAATTTTATTCATTGGATATACGTTATTACAAAAAGTTCCAGAAAATAAACAAGATGTCTCTATTGCAAAGTTTAAAATATTCAACAAACAAAAACTGCGTTATTATTATTATTACACGGTTGATAATAACCCCTTGGAAAAAGGTGGTCGTATGCAAGGTGTTTATTAAATAATTTTCGTAAATAGTTTTTACAACCTGTATTTTATTGTATAATTTACTTTGAAAAAGTGTCCCGATGGGTTTCTTGCTGGTTCTTCGCAGGACAGAGATTTTTCCGAAACAGTGGTAAAGAAAAAAATTACTTTCAATAACAATTGTATACATCGAATTATCCGATTCTATTCTATACTTCGTAAAAGAAACAAAAAATAAAAAACTGCGATTTCCAACCCGCCTGCCAAGCGTGGCAACTGTAGCAAATATCCAGCATATTATGCAATCTGTATTGAGCCTTGGACAAAAGTCCATACAAGCATTGGACTAATAATTAAAACTTTTAACAACAATTTAAAATTAAAAATTTTGTACAACCGACTTTAATATAATGAATGAATGAATGAAGGAATGAATGAAATACACTTTATTGTACACAAAAAATACATATGAGAAGAAAAAGAACATAATTTATTTAAAGGTACAATTGGCGGCCTTATCGCTTGGGAGCGATATCTACCAGGCAACCACATTGCAGAGGATAAAATGACCTGTGAGAAAGGGTAAGGGTGTACATAGGTTGATAGAAAATACACACGCCATATATAGTATAATCCATAAATACATACGTCTATAATATAAATAAATGCATTTTTAAATACAAAAATATATACATACATATACGAGAGCAGAAAAGATAAACAAGTGAAGTCAAAGCCTAAACGTAAGGAAAAATGAGTAGGTAGTAATTTTTTAGAGGAATGACTATTTAAGGAGGAAAGAAGTGCGCTTTGACAAGTTTTTTAAACATATCAATAGACTGCGCACTTCTAATGTGCAGCGGTAGGGAGTTCCAGAGCCTAACAGCTTCAACAGAAAAGGATTTAGAATAGAAGGAAGTGTTATGAGATGGAATTTTTAGGATGAGGTTTTTATCAGAGCGAAGAAAGCGACAGTGAGTGTCACCAAGAAACTCAAACCGCTCTTTAAGGTAA